GAGGGATTTTTTTTCCCTATATTTGGACCTCCCTGCTTGGGCAAAACAAACATAAGCTGGTCCTAACCAAAGAATTAAAGAGGAGCTTGGAGTTTGGGGTATTAAGAGTCTGAAATTTGTGCATTTTGTTCTCATTTTTGTCCCTGGCTCCTGAGGTGCAGCAGCTTTACCTGGGCACTCGTTTTACCTGGAATTGCACGTGATGGTTCAAAATACCCCCTTAATGCCAGCCTTGGTTAACAGGATTTTATAGTTTCTGTTTATTGGAATTCTTGCTGCTAATTTTAACTGTTTGCAAGAAGCTTTTAAATTCTGAAAATAACCCCCCTCCCCTCCCTTCCCAGTCCCAACATAAATAAGGGTAAATTTTCAGTTGCACTCTGGGCATTTGTGCCTCTGAAGGTTCCACAAAACAGGACAAAAACACACCAATACTAAGTTTGGGCAAATATTTTCCATAGAACGCTGCCTCCAGTATGAATTCCAGTAAATACATGACAGAACTTCCCAAAACAACATCTTCTTTAATTATCTGTATTTCCCCGAAGAAATGGGAAGGTTTCCAGCTGGTTACTTGACCTGAGGATTTCCAGTGTCCTGTGTAGGAAATCATCCCTAATAGAGTGTTTTATTAACTTTTAATTCAATTCTTCTGTGTTTTATTGACACTCTCTTGTTCCTCCTACTCTTTCCTCAGCTTCCACGTGCCAGATGTGGAGTATTTAAAGTGTGAGGAGCTCTCTGTGTGTTGCCACCACCTCTGAGAGCTTTCAGAGTCTCTAGAAAGGTTTGCTGACTCCCCTCTGTCCCAGGGAAACCAGAGGACGAGCATAAAATCATGATAATAAAAACCAGATATCTTGTGGGAGTTCTGAGGATGAGTTGTGGGGGTTTTTTTTGGTTGAATCTCTTGATTTTGGAAATAATCTTATGGCATGTCTGACAAAAAGCGCTTGGGTCTGTTGGGGCTTGGTTTGTGTTGGCATCCCAGAGCAGAGCTCTGGTGTTGGAAAACTTGCTGCTTTATTTCTCCACCTTTCCCAAAGAATCCAGAAGGAGCTGTGGGAGGCAGGGAACTGGGCATGGAAGTGTGGAAATGCTCTTTTTGGATAGGAAATAAATGAAATTTTACGGATTAGAACACCGGGGTCTGCTCAGACCCCATTTTGAGGGTCTGCTTTCCAGTCAGGCAGGGCTGGTAATTCCAGTTTGGGTAGATCTGGGGGAAGCTGTGGTTTGGATGTTCCTTTGGAAGCTGTTCCTGCAGAGCTTTGGGGCACCAGTGAGTTTGAGCTGCAGGAAGGACTTTGGTTTGTTCCAGCAGCTCCTTTGCCGTTCCGGTAACCGGGGAGGAAACTCGAGGCAGCTCCTTGTGGGACCTGGCAACCAGCAGAGCCCCGGGAATGCTGCACCAACCTTCCAGCCCTGCTTCAGGAAGCCTTTGGCTGGAACAATAGGGGGGAGCAGGAGTGGAATTCCTGCCTCTGAGGGGTGTTTAAAGGGGCTTCCATCGCTCACACGCATCCCAGGAATTGTGCTGCTTCCCACCTGCACCTCTCCAGTGCTGTGGGGTTGGAACATCTGGTACCTGGCACAGCAGAAAAGCTGCTGAGCTGGCAGGTGGCTGCTGGAAAGGGACCTGAACTGTGCTTTCCTTGCTTGGAATTTTGTCTCTCACCAGCTCCCAGTCCCTGCAGGTCTCGTGGGGGGATAGAGCCGGAATCCCAGGGGTGAGGTTGTGCAGTGGCCCCGTTGCTCGGGCAGATGTGGCTTGTTTTCCCTCCACGAGGGTGAGGTCTCATCAGCATCCTTGATTTACCCAGGATTTACTGCTTCCTGGGAGCTGGTGTGCTCTGGGAAGGGCAGAGCTGTACCCACAGCAGTGCTGTGGTCCCACCCCAGGGCTCAGGAGATGACTTGTTTTCCTTGGAAAGACAAGAGGGAAGGACATTGTTCCCGCCAAAGGTGGATGGAATGACATTTCTGGGAACTGCAAGGCAGGAAGTTCACTCATGGCATCACCAAGGAAGAAGAATCAGGTGACTCTATGGTGACTCTTCAGGAGATGACACAGGGATTTTGGAAGTGGCAGCAAAAACTCATTAAAATTGGGGTTCCTCCACACAAGAACATCCAAGAAGGTTAATCCAAATGAAGGTATAAATCCAAATACAGTTTTAATTTGGTTTAACTTAATTCCTCTGTTTGCTTGTGTTCTGGATGAAGGTGTCTACGCAGGGATTTAATTTCATCTAATAAAAGCACTTGGGTTCATATCCTTAATTAGTTTAGGGTGTGCACGTGTTCTCTTCTTCCACGAGCGTTTTCAGACGAGCTGTAGCCAAGGAATTGGACACCAGGGAAGTGATGCCCATGTAGGTACAGGGATGGTGTTGCTGAGAAGCCAAGACACCTGGAGTGCTGTGCCCAGTTCTGGGCCCCTCAGCTCAGGAAGGACATTGAGGGGCTGGAGCAGGTCCAGAGGAGAGCAACGAGGCTGGGGAAGGGACTGGAGCACAAGTGCTGTGAGGAGAGGCTGAGGGAGCTGGGGCTGTTCAGCCTGGAGAAGAGGAGGCTCAGGGGAGACCTCCTCACTCTCTGCAACTCCCTGACAGGAGGGGGGAGCCGGGGGGGGTTGGTCTCTTTTCCCAGGCAACCATCAGCAAGACAAGAGGGCTGGGTCTGAAGCTGTGCCAGGGGAGGTTTAGGTTGGAGATTAGGAAGAATTTCTTTCCAGAGAGGGTGCTCAGCCATTGGAATGGGCTGCCCAGGGAGGGGGTGGTGGATTCTCCATCCCTGGAGGTGTTTAAGAAGAGACTGGATGTGGCATCAGTGCCATGGGCTGGGAACCACAGCGGGGTTGGATCAAGGGTTGGATTGATGATCTCAGAGGTCCCTTCCAACCCAGCTGATTCTCTGATTCTATGATTCCCTTCCCTGCCTAAAAAGGGAAGCTGGAATGGAGCAATGTCTTTCCAGTATCCATCTCTTCCACGGGATCCCTTGTGTGGAGCGTGGCAGGGAGTTCCAACACCGATATTCCTGCACTGGGGCTCACAGCCAGGACAGCTGGGGAGCCTCAAAATGCTGAATCTTGGGAAACACATCTCAACTTTGCCATTTAACTTGCATCAACACTCCAAGCTTGACATCACCCAACTTCAAACCTGGTTCATTTGCAGATTGGGGAATTTATAAGTTCCACAATTGAAGCTCGTCCTGATTTGTGCAGCAGGACTTTCGTTCCTGCCCCCTCCTCCCACTTCCCTGCATCTCACCACCTTTCTGTTCCACTTCACTTCCCAGAAGGACCAGCAGAAAACTTCACCAATCTATAATTTGCTGCACGAGAACCACATGGGAGGTTGTTGCTTTCTTAAAAATACCCAGATTTTTTTCGTGTTTCAAATGCCTCTTTTGCTCTCTGTTCCTCCTGGAGTTTTCTGGCCACGCTGCAGAGCACGGGGCGAACACGCAGAGCTGGCCAGGCTGGCCATGAACAGCCTGCTGTGGAATGCAGTGTCGTGGCACTCGAGGAATCCACTGATCTCTGGACCAAGAGCAAGATGTTGTTTATTGTTGCTTTATAAAGGTTGTTTCGGGTCTATAAAAACTCGTTCTCCGGCGCTGTCGGCTCCGAGCTTCGCTCGGCGTCGTAAACGTCCTGGGTGTGAGGCACATCTGCTCAACGGGGTTGGATGGGCTCTGGGAAGGCTCAGACTCTGTCTTGGGCTGGGTTTATCCATCTGGGCTCAAAGGATATTTTTTTTTTCCTGGTGAATTGATCCCTTTTTGTGTTGATATCAGCGTATCCTGGCTGAGATTCCTCACTCCCGGGCTGAAAACGCTTGGAAAGGTTTTGTGAGAGACGATGATAAACTTCAGGGGTTTTGAGCTGTTTAACTCTTTTGCTGCTTAAGTCTAAATGTCTGCTTCTGTGATCCCTTGGGAGTTGATCCCTTGGGAGTTGATCCCTTGGGAATTGCTCCCTTGGGAGTTGATCCCTTGGGAATCAATCCCTGGGAAATCCATGAGCTCTGGGACACAGACAGTCCAACACACCCCCTTTGAACTTGGAATCCTAAAGCTCTTCCTGGGGATTATTTTGTGTCTCCCGTGTGTATATGGCAACATTTTCACTCCTAAATGATCCTTCGACCTCTTTGTAAATTCTTTTATCCCTTTGGAAAAAGGGCTTCGCAGCTGGGAGCCCGGTGGAGCACAACCTCTTGTCTTGGAATGTTGGGTGGCATTTAGGAAATAAAACCTGCACGGCCCCAATTCTGCTGAAATTGGAAGAAAACAAAGCTTAGCCTGGCTTGAATTGGGTCTGTCCTTTCTTTCCCTGGAGTTAAAACCTCAGGTGAGGGTTGGAACTCAAAAGCCCTCGTGATCTCTAAAATCACAGCGAAGCAAAAAGGCTGAAATTGGGCAGTTTGGAGCAGATTTGAGGGGGTTTTAGAGCTCACAGGAATATGACTTTTTAAATGTAAGCAAATGAATTTGGAGGAAGAGGCTGATTGTTGAAACAGGCAACGTAACAACAGTTTGCTTTTCCAAGCTTTCTCTTGGAAAAAATTTGCTTTGCCTCTCCTCGGGCCGAGATCTGTAATAAATTTTCCCTTCAAGTGTCCATTTTTTAACTGAAAACTTATATAAACACCAGAGAGAGACTCAGCTGAGCTGTTCTGTGCCCGAAATGTGGTGTTGGGAGGAACGAAGTGTCACCTCTGAGCTGTTCTCCTGCACCAAAGGTCACCCTAGTTTTATCCCTTTTCTAGGTATAAATCTCTATCTGAGGAGGTTTTGTCTTTTCTTGCTCGGAATTCTCTGTATTTCCCTGAACCTGTTGTCTTTAAAAATGATATAAAGTAAAAAAAAAATAAAAATACAGGTGGAAAAAATCGAGCTGAGCTGTTTTTTGGTGGTGAATGTTGGAGCTTTTACGTTTCTCTGAGGTAATTTTTGGTTTATTCATTTGTTTGTTTTTTTTTTTGTAGGATGCTGTGACGTCCAAACCAGTCATCCAGTTTCAAGGAAGCCAAGGGGTAAGTTTTTATACCTGGATTGCCTTGGGAAGTTCCACAGCTGATGGCAGGAATTTGTGCTGTTCCAGCTCAAGGAATGATGATGCTCTGATTGCTGAAAGGGAGAGGTTGAGAGGTCCAAGGAAAGCTTTTTTCCCCCCCCTTTGTTTCCTTACCTTGCTAAACCCACATGAAATCCACCTTTAGGAGGTGAAATCCAGCTTTGGAAGGCCGTGCTGATGGGCAGGACAAGGAAAAGAGCACAGCAATCCATGGAAACCTCACCTGTATCCCAAGGGAACAACACCTGGTAGAGTCAGTGCAGGACTTTGTGGGTCCCACTTATTTCCAGCAGCAAAAAATTCCGAGTTTTTGAAGCTTTGTTTAACATAACTGTGCCACTCCTGTGAGTACCAGCAGTTATTTTCTGTTTAGGAGTTTTATTTCTCCAACTTCTGCTCCAATGCCTGAACTCCAGGGTATTTATAGCCCCTGGAAATGCTCCGTGGTGCCAGTTGCTGACAACGTTGAGATTTACGTGGTGGTGTTGCTGGTAAAGCCATGCAGCTCTTCAGTGAGCTTGAAAAATGTCATTTAAATACCTTTTATTTATAAAAAAACCCCAACTCTCTCTGCATTCAGCTTTAGTCTTTGCATAAAGAAGGGGAATTTTAATTTTTAAATATTTTTTTTTCCCCCCCAAGAATCTGAACTCAGCTGTGAGCAGCTTCTCGTTTTTATTTTTATGCCACTGGCACGTTAAAACTTTCAGAAAGTTGCTTGAATTAAGCAGACACTAAATCCAGCACTTTGGCCTTGCCCACATAACTGCTTTGTGACATTATTCTCACTAACAGCACACAGAAAATACAGCAGGAAAGACATGATTGTTATTGTAAGTTCAGAAGTAAAATACAGAGCTCCTTGTCCTGGGAAATACAGAAAGGAGCAATTTCCAGGTTTGTTGTGTTTTGTTTTTTTTTTTACTTTGTTTAGAATTAAACTTCCCTGGAAGTCAAGATCAAAATCTGGCAAAATCAAAAGCGAGTGGAGGGGGGAATTTTTTTAAGGACATGTGGATTTGTCTTTATTAGAAAAAAACCAGCTTTGCACATCCTAAAGAATAAAAAACTGGGAATGCTTTCCCTTTGGAGAGCAGCACCTTGTGAGGATCTGCCCCTGACTTTTCCTGTAAAGCTGCTTAAGTTTTGGAAATGCCTCCCCTTGATATATATATATTTTTTTTTAACTTGAGAAGTAGCAAAAGGAAGGGGAGAACAGCTTTAAAACACTCCCTTGCCCTGAGGCTCTTTGGGTTCCACGTGGATCAGAGGTGGACAAGGCTTAACAAAAAAACCACTGTTTGAAAAGGCTGTGGTTTCTTGTTGTAATTCAGAATATTTTCAAATTATGTGGAATATTTTCAAATTAT